GGGGCTGCTGGTGAGGGATCCTCAGCCCTGGCTCAGGTGCATCCATGGGGCCATGAGACCCCGGGAAACCCTGGGGATGGGATCCAGGCTTGGCACAGCAGGGCCAGTGCTGGAGCTCAATGTGAACCCAGGAAGGGGGATGGGACTGAGCCTCAGTCACATCCCTCGGAGCTGGAGCCTGTGCTGGGTGGCTGGTGCGAGGCACGAGCTGAGCCCTGGGGCTGCTGCCGGCAGCCTTGACCCCGAGGCAGGATTTTCTCCACCGTGTCCTCATGGCTCCAGCTCCGTGAATTGGGTTGGTGCTTGTGGCTCATGGCCACATCCCTGGAATTGGGGAGAGAGTGTTGGAGCGGTGTGGGCTGCACCTCGATGGCCACACCCCACTCCCAGCGCTGACACGGAGCTTCGCCCCGTGCCCGGGGGCGGCAGCGTCACCGCTGCTGCCTCAGTTTCCCATCTGCTGAGACGAGATAATGCTCCTCTGCTTGATCCTGCGCTATCTCCCAGGAAGGTTGCAGGGATTAGATTGCTAATGTTTGCAAGGAGCTTTGAAGATGAAAGCTGTGAACAAATGCCAAGAAGTGCTGAGCTGGATTCTCCTCGCCAAGTAATCGTTTCATGTTCCTGGGACACTTCCACTTCTGCGGATGAAGGAGGGCAGGGCGGGAGCGCCGGCGTGCAGGGAGGGCCGGGAGGCTGACATACCTTCCCAAGACTTGCCCCTCCAGATCTGATCACCCATCCTGTTTGATTCCTGATCAAACTCTGATCCTTCCTGCTGATGCTCAGACCCAGACTGCCTTGCTGCTGCTGGCATCAGCACCACCAGCACCCTGCAGGCCCCAGCCCCCCAGGAAACATCACCCTGGGGGGATTCGCTCCCTCTCCCCTCCTCAGCAAAGTCTTCCCCCTCTCCAGAGCTTTGGGTGCCCCCGGCAAGAGCTACACTCCCCCCCAAGGCCTCCTCTCTCCCAATCTTTCATCCCAGTGTCCCCAGCTCTGCCCCACACTGATGGAAGATGCTCTGGGCTCTGTCTGTGCTGGAGAAATGCTGGTGCTTGGATCCAGGAGGTGCAAACAACATGGAGTGGGGACTGGGAAGGCTGGGATGCAGGAAAGCAGCGGCCAGAGCCAGCAAGGACATCCTGTCCCATCCACTCTGACAAGGTGTGCCCCTCTCAAAAAGGAGCAGACATCTCATGGCCACGGCCCACAGCTGGCTCTGGTTCTACCTCTCCTGTCCGTGCACATGGATTTACAGACACCTCAGCGAGCTCCTTATGAATGATCCCACTGCCCACACGGCCGAGCCTGGCACGGTCAGCTGGGCCACGCGTGACATGGGGGTGTGTAAACACATGCATGACACAGGTGTGTGTGTAAACAAGCTGTGAGTCAGCGCCGGCAGCCGCGTGGGCTCCCAGCACAAGCACTGCCTCCACCACGGTGCAGGGCAGGAGCAAAGTGAGCCTCGAGGGGAGAGCTGACAGTGCTGTGGAACGTCAGGAAACCGTGTGGGGCTGAACTGGGTCCAGCAGAGCCGGGAGTCGGGAAAACCTCCCGGGCCATTAAAGTCCTTTGGCTCCTCGGCGGGGCTGGGGAGAGGCGCTGACGGAGGAGGCAGAGCTGCACCAGGAAGGGCAGCGGTTGCTCCACTGATCTTTGTTCCCTGGGCAAGGTGCTGGTTATCGGGACGAGACAGTGAGGCTGCTGGCTGCCCTCCTCCCATTCCAGCCAGGTGGAGGACACAGACCCCACTGGCATTACGGTGGGCTGTGGCACCCTGGCCCTGCCAGTCTGGTGGCCCTGCAGGTTCCCAGTCCCCTGGGCTGTTGAAGGGCAGAGCCGCTGTAGGTCATGTCCCGCCTGAAGCCCCCATCTGCCGCACAGCCCCTGTCAGACAGGGAGCCTGATTGCTTGGCCCAGGCTGGCAATTGGTAGAAAAACATGTTTTTCATATTAAAATTTCCCTTGAAGAACAATGGTTTAAATCAAGCATAAAAAAGCAAAGAATCCAAAAAAAAAAAAAAAAAAAAAAGGGAAATTTTTGGTGGAGCCCAAAAGCAGCCTTCAGGGACTGTGAATTTCCCCTGAGCCCCTGTGCCCTGGCTGCTCCCAGGACAGGTGGGCCACTGGGATGGCACAGGGGGGCCAGAGCAAGGCTGACAAGATGCCACTAGCCCTGCTGCTGGGGACATCCTGGATCCAGGGATCAGAGCCGTGCAGGGCTGGGGGCCACCCGCTGCCAGTGCCCCTCAGCACTCACAGCCCGGCAGCAGTGAGGTTGGGGCTCAGCCTGTGTCACTGCTCCTGGGTCACCGGGAGCTGCCGGATCGCGGCCAGGTGGGATCCAGACCCACAGCCTGGAGGTGCGAGGCTCCAGGAGACGAGGTGGAGGATGTAAATCTCACGATCTGTCTGAAGAAATTCAAAGGAGACCGATTCAAATCCACCGTGACACGACTGGCTCGAGGCGGGCAGACAATCCCTGCAGTGTCTGTGAGGAATCTCGCCACTTTCCTTTGAGTGGCCTCCAATTTATTAATTAAAATAGGCAATTATATATGATGTTGGGTGGAGGGGAGCAGGGAGACCAGCTGCACCAGTTATTCTCACTTGGCAGGAACCGTGCTGGAAGCTGCTCCTGCTCCAGGAGGTGCCTGTGCTTCCCAGGGCTCAAGGCAGAGCCTGGGACAAGGCTGTGCCCGGAGCTGCACCCCAAACACCCAACAGCCAGGCAGCACAGGGGCTTCAGCTCCAGCCACTGCTTTGTTTAGGAGCACAGGGTCCAGAGGTCAGGACGAATCCCTGGGACCCCCTGTCCGGGGTCCCAGACGGGCACTTGTCCCATCCACTGACCAGTGCATGTGGGATTGTGACTCCAAGCTGCCAGAGGAGCCTCCCACCCTGTCCTGTCCCCTCAGACAACGGGAGCCCTGGGACATTTTCCACTGCCCTCTCTCACGCAAGCAGGGCGGCCAGTTTGGGAGCGGGCTCTGTGTAAGGATGACTCGGTGCTAAGTGGGGAGGTGTCACCTCCTCGTCAGCTCTCTTGGGTGAGGGTGCAGTTTGCCTTTCTGCAGCACCGTGGGAAAATCCTTCCCTGGGTGACTCAAATTTACTCCTGACCAGGGATCGGCTCCCTCAGAGGAAGGGACAGCTGAGCCCAGAACCCACGATCCTGGGGAGCCTGAGCGGTGACAGGGCTGCACCTGCCCAGGGACCCTCCTGCCCTCCGTGGGGGGAACTGTGGCTGGGGCCAAAGTCAGGGCCTCGACCCCCAGAAAGGGGAGTTCAGCACCAGTGATGAGGGATGGGCAGGGGGCTTTGCCTGTGCCCAGGGGCTGCAGGTCATGGGCAGAGGCCGCAGTCCTGACATGGAGCTTTCTCCCCACAGAAGCACATCCCAACAGCCAAGGGCTCAGGGGGCTTTGGGGGCCCTTCCCACTGCTGTGTGCCAGAGGCACTGGGCTGCAGCCGCTCCGCTGCCCTTATCTCCATGGGCATTCACATCCGTTGCCATTTGCATCCCGACGAGTGTTGCCACGTTCAGCTTCCACAGTTCCTGCGTCAGGGAATTCCAGAGGGACAAAGTCAGTGGAGTCGGATCCTTCCCTCCCAATCCCACAGGCACTCGGCACCCATTTGATCAAGTGGCAACTTGTCCTCCAGCCTCGAGACAGGGCACAGAGAAACACTGGTGAGGAGCTTCCCTCGGGGCACGAAATGCCCCATCCGGGGCCGCGGGCTCGTGGAGGCTCCGGGCTCCGTCTGGCTCCACGTCTGGACCCACCTCCCAAATAAAAGGGTTACGGGAGCAGCCGTTTCCTCATCGGCTGTAAATAAATGCCAACGTGCCTTATCAGTGTCCGGGATCATCGATCAGCTGCTGAGCGCTGCCAATCTGTCCCACGGCTGCAATTCCCACACCATCACCGAGTCCTCCCGGTCGATGACCGGTGACCCAGCCCTGTCCCAACCCTGTCCCACCAGCGCCCAGTTTACGGCGTCTCACCGTGTCCCCGTCCCCCTGCAGCAGAGGGAGCGGAGACATGCCGAGCTTTCCACGGCTCCTGAGCTGCTCCACAAATCCCTCCCCGGCTCCATCACCCGACGAAGCTGGAGCAGCAAATCCTGGGCTGAAGATGCCACCTGCTGGGAGCGGGGCTGGTGCCGCGGGCTCGAACCCCAGGACCCCACAGCCCCACCATGCAGAACCCCTAAGACCCCACAGCTCTGCCACTCCCAACCCCCCTGCAGCCTCACCACCCCAAAAGCCCACAACCACGCTGTGTGGATACCCCAAACCTCCCCCAGCCACACCACCCCAAGACCCTGGCTCAGCAGAGCCACAGCAACAGCCCGTGGAGCTTGGGACCCCAGTGAGGGCCAGGCAGACCCCCTGCTCTCTCAAAAGCTGCAGCCTGGGGAACACCCTGGCCTTGAACTGAGCCCCAGGTGGGATTCCTAGCTCCTAAAATTAGAGATTCCACCTCTTGCCCCCTAAAACCTCCCCAGCATCTGCCAGCATCCAAGGGGTGAAGTCTGGGACAAATAGCCTACTTGAGAGGCTTCTGCCAAAATGGAACATCCCCGTTCCTTTGTGGCTACTGCAGTCTTAAGCAAATCCTGGGATATTCACTGGGAATACCCGTTTTTCCTCCTTTCGAGAGGAGGGGTCTCAACCTCTCCCCAGCTCTGTTTTTCTTCTCTTTAAAGAGAAAATAACTAACTAAATATGTCAGTCAGCTTATGAGCTTATGATATTTTGAAGCCCGAGGGTCCGGTGGGGCCACTGCCCCGGGGCTGAGAGAGGGGCCGGGATCGAGGGACCGGGATCGAGGGACCGGGATCGAGGGACCGGGATCGAGGGGTCCCCGTTCCGCGGGCGGGGGGCGGGGCCGCCCCTCGAGCCCCCCCTCAGCCCCGCCCCTCCGCTTCCGCGTTTGTGCCGCGCGCGGCCCCGTGTCCGCCGTCGGCCGCCGTCGGCGCCGCGGTGCGCGCAGGGGCGGGGCCGGGCGGGCAGGGAAGATGGCGGAGGCGTCGCCGCAGCCGGGCCGGTTCTTCTGCCACTGCTGCTCGGCCGAGATCGCCCCGCGCCTGCCCGTGAGCGCCGCGGCCGCCGGGGGGACCGGGAGGGGCGGTGGGCGCGGGCAGGGCCGGGCAGGGGCTCCGGCGGGGCGGGCACGTGGAGGTGAGGCCTCAGGGGCCCGGGGGGCCTGAGAGGCGGCGGGACCGGCGAGGGCGGGGGGGGGCCTTGGGGGCTCTGTCCGTGGCACCGGGGCTCGGGGGCGTTGGGAGGGGCTGGGGCGGTCCGGAGCGGGGGAACGGGGCTGCGGGGGGTAGCGGGCCGCCCCTGCCGAGGGGCAGCAGCCGGGCGGGGGCGGCGCGGCGGGAGGGGCCCTCGGCCCGGGCGGGGGGGCCTGGGCGGGGCGGCCCCGCGGCGGTTCGAGCGCTCCGACCGCCCCACGGGAACCACCGGGCCCCGCCGCCGAGCGACTCTGGGGTGGGGGTCCTTCCGGGAGTGACACCCCCGGCCCGGGCAGCCTTACCCTATCTGGAGCTGAGGGAAGCGCCACGGGGTTTCTTCTCTGTCTCTCAGCAGCGTTTAATGAGCGCGAGAAAAGCCCGGCGGTGGTGTGGCTGGGACACAGGGAGGTGCGCGGGTGATACGTGGACAGAAGTGCTGTGTAGGCACCTGGGCAGGTGCTTTAATCACCCAGCAAAACCCCGCGTATGCGGAGCCTGTCCCGGGGTGGGTGGCCTGGAGCGTGGGCTGTTGGGGAGGAGCTGGTGGGTCACCTGCTCCCCGCCCGGTGTCCTGAGATGTTCAGTGTGGTTCTGAGGGTCCTGCCAGTCTCTTTGTCCTGACACTTTTCACAGCGTCTTGTCTGAACAAGCCTTTGCTGGTTGCTGACACTGAGCTTTAAAAGCCCCCGAGGGTGAGCAGAGCTGTCCTTGCGGGGGGGACGGTTGGTTTGTGACGTGCAGTTTGTCCTTTTGCCAGGGTGGGCCGTGTTGGAGCCTTCCAGCTCATGTGTAAGTGTGAGAACAAACGCCTGACTGTGCTCGTGCTGAGAACAGACAGGCTGGGAGTGCGAGCCAGGGGATAACCTGCAATATCCGTCGTTTATTTCTGCTCAAACACCCCATCCTGGGCTGGGCTGAGCTGGGCACACCTGGCTGTGTGTGCTGGGCTGGGCAGGGAGCAGGTGGCTGTGTTTGGGGCCTCAGGGCTGGGTAGCTGTGAGTTCATGAACTTGTTTTGGGGGTCCAAGTTCACTTGGTTTCACTCACTGACAGGAGCTGCCAAAGGAGGGACTCAAACAGCCCAAGAAACAACTAACTTTGACATTTGTGCTGTTCCAGCTGCAGAGGAATGTGCTGATCCCTGTGCTCAGAGCTGGTTGTGAGCACACACACCCCGCAGCCCCCTGGAGCGGGGAGCTGAGAGGAGCAGGGTGCTCAGGCCGTGGTCATTCCCCCTCTGCTGGTGTGTCCCCACCAGTCTGTGGTGGTGGGAAGCAAAGGGGTTTTCCCAGGCAGAGGCAACTGCTGCAGCTCCCTGTGCTGGGCACCGAGGGGTACAGAGGTTCCTGAGCTCACACCTCGTGTGAGTGGTGCAGAGCCAGTTGTTTCACAGCAGCAGACAGGGGAGAGAGGGAGCAGGGACCTGTCCCAGTCTGGGCCTCGGAGCTCCTGTACCTCCCTGGGTGGGCAGGGCACGTGTGGTGGCTCCGGGCCGTGCTCCACACGGGGCCTTATCAGGGTCAGATGCAGGGACTGGGGGAGCGACCCCAGGGGTCTTATTGGGACAGTCCCCAGGGCTGGTGGCCTTGACTCCTTGGGGGAATCCCTTGGCCTGGCGAAGGGCTGTGCCAATTCCAGTGCAGCAGCAGCAGCAAAGGGAAGTGATATTATTTTTAGAAGCTCTTAAATGCCTTCTGAGCTGAGCCCGGCTCTGCCAGCGCGGGGATTTGGGGTGGTGTGTGCCCGCTGGGCGCGCGGGCGGCTCTGTGGTGCTGCTGCTCCTCGAGCACTGGAAAGCGAAGCAATTCCCTTTGAGGATCTCCAGTGTTCTGGGCTGCTCTGCCCAGGACAGTGTGGTTGTGGAGGATAAATTCCTCACTAACCCCGGGGATTGTGAGGCAGTAAGTGTCACAGGCTCTGCACACACAGCCTGTCTTTCCCCACATGCTCCATTGTCAGTGCCCAGGGCACTGGGGCGGCGGCAGGTCTGTGGCAAGTACTGGTCATGGGCGTGTAAGGACCTGGTGTGTCCTCGTGCCCCTCGTGCTGTGAACCCCAGCTTGTGTTAGTGGCAGGGATCAGCCTCCCTGAGCATCACGACGCTGCCAAGCCCCTGCTGCCATTCCCACCTCGTTTCCTGGTCCCCAGAGCTGGTGTTTGAGAGCTGCTGTGCGGGGAGTGATGGGGGTTTTGCTTTCACCTCACCAGAACTGCATCAGTTGTGTCTAATGCTGTGTCTGTACCAGGGATTAGCAGCGTCACCCTGATCGTTCTCAAGCCGAGCTCCTGCAGACTCAGGCCAAGCTCTGGCCTCGCTGGCCTGGGGAAAGCCAATGTTGGGGTTTGGGGTCTCTGGCTCTGGAACCGTGGCGTGTGCTGGGGGTGACCAGACCCCTCCGTCACACCCTGCAGCTCTGAGGTACCACTTCCTTCTCTTATCCAGTGTCTCTTCTCCCACAGGACTACATCTGCCCACGGTGTGAGTCTGGTTTTATTGAAGAACTTCCCGAGGAGCCGAGGTAATGTCCTGCCCCACGGACTGGTGCTTGAGTGAGCCAGGGCTGCCTTGCTCTCTTACTAGTTCAAAGGCAAAGTTGGACATTAAATACACCGTCTCTATTGCTTCTGTGCCCAAGCTTTGGCTCATCTTTCCTCACTGTGGGGTTATAGTGCTTCATTGGCAGGTTTGCAGCCACAGGTCAGTCTGCCATGGGAATACTGAGTGTCCTCCTGAGCATCCAGTGTTGCTGGTGAAGGGCAGTGCAGGAATGGGTTGATGTAAAACAAACATAAAGAAGTGATAGGGAGACTTTCCCTATGGTGTGTGTAGCTCTGACCTGGTCTGAGTCATCAGGGCAGAGATAACCCTGGAGAGACAAATCTGGGAATGGAGAGTGCCCGGACACCTCAGTGTGCGAGTAGTGAAAGTGCTGGGGACAAACAGTGAAATGTTGTGGCTGAGACTTTGGACTCTGCCCTGGAGCAACGAGATCCATGTTCCTCTCCTGCCCTGCTGCCACTTTTGGGACAGCTCTCTGGTGGGCAGGAGCACCAGGAATGTCTTTAAATGTTTCAGTCACATTTGTTGGCTGTGACTGGTTCTGGGATGGGCCATGGGCAGCGCAGGGACACAACTGGGCCAGGGGGCAGCGGGTGTTGCTGCCTGCTGAGCATGGTGGTCTGCATGGCCTGGGGTTTCTGCACAGACCAGGAGATGTTTGGTCTGACCACACCAACCCTGGAGCCTAAAAGTCCATCCTGGCAGATCCTGACTGTTTTGGTGATTTCCTGTAACCTTGGGAGAGCAGTGTAGTCACTGAATCTCAGTGGGTTTGGTACTTTGAATGCAGACATGTAGAGCTGGGCACTGAGCAGGCAATGTTCCTGCAGCTCTGAAAGCAGAAGCCTGACAGCATTAGGAATTTTCCCAGTATCCTGAGCCGTTGGGTCACGTGCCTCTGCAATAGAGAGATTTCTTTGATTCAAGATTAGACTTACATGTGTTGGGGTCACAGCGATCAGAACTCTTCCTGATACTCTGGAGGCTTAGCTGATGTGTTTGAGGTGGACTGTGCAGGGAATCCTTACTTGACATTGTGGTTCAGGCACTTCTCCACAGCTTTGTGAAATCACAGCCTAACAGGGTAGGGAGAGATGGGTGAGGATGTGGGAAAATGAAGGGTTCAGGGAGGGAGGAATGAAAATTGATGTGAGCAACCAGAAAATCAGCAGCTGAAAGAGGACCAGGTTCTGTCTGGAGCTGCCCCTGCCCTGGGGTGGGTGAGAGCGGGGCAGACCTTAAAGGGAAGGGAGACAGCAAATCTTCCTGTAGAAGCTTATGAGTCTTACCAGCATTCTTCATTCCCCATAGGAACGCTGACAATGAGACCAGCTCCTCTACGTCAGCCGCTGATCAGAGCAGGCATCCTTTCGAGGTGACTGAGTCCTTTCTCCCTTTCAACACCTTCTGCTTTGCCATTGGATTGAGTATTTTTCCAATAGTACATCGTTTAAATGTTCCCCAGATCATGACAGAATCTGGAAAGGAGGAATTAATGTCCTCCACATGGTGCTCCTGAAATCTCTGCATGCCGTATTTTTGCTGCGTGTGTTACGTAGGACCGTCACTTGTAGCTGATTCCTGTCGTGAGGGGGCTCAGCAGGATTTGGAGAGCAGGATTTGAGCGTGTTGCTATGCAGTAGCCTCAGCTCGGAAGCAGCAGTGACACAACAAAGGGAAAGCAGGGAACTGTGATTTGGGTTTTTTCTGCCTTTGTGTGCAGTTCCCATGTCCGTTCCTCGCTGAGCTGCTGCCAAGGGCACACTGGTCCCGGTGTCACCGCAGGCCTGGGGGTCGCTGTGGGAGCCGAGGGCCGTTTCTCTCGTCACAGTCTGTTCTCTGCATTCCCTCCCTCTCAGAACGTGGATCAGCACTTGTTCACCTTGCCCCAGGGCTATGGCCAGTTCGCTTTCGGGTTCTTTGATGACAGCTTTGAGTTTCCGTTTGGGTCCAATGTGCAGCCGGAAGACAACCGGGACTCGGAGAACCGGCGGGAGCGCGAGCACCAGTCCCGGCACCGCTACGGCGCGAGGCAGCCCCGCGCCCGCCTGGCCACGCGCCGCGCCTCGGGCAGGCACGAGGGCGTCCCCACGCTGGAAGGGTGAGAATCGTGTTCCTCACTGATGGGACTGACCTCAGCATCAGCCTGTGCCTTTTCCCCCGGGTTGGGGAGCAGCGTCCCAAAGCTCTCCAGCACTGCCTTGGGTGCCAGCTGTGCCCCAGCTGGGCCTGATGCTGTTGGCAGCTCCTGCCTGGGGTCTGTCGGGGCTATTTCACATGAGCAGTGGCATGGCCTGTGGCTGGGACTTTGTCCTGCAGTGGGAAAATATTCCCTGGTCGTTGCCAAAGTGTTGTACTCACTGTGAGGGGAAACAGCAGAAAGCACCAGATGCTGTTTGTGTAACTGCGTCCTGGGAGCCACTCAATTCGTGCCAGGAATTGTCCCCTTACGAATCAAATACTGAAACTTTATCCATGGCCTATCACTCTATAAGCTGCAGTTGCAATTGCTACAGGGAATCTTTTCTTTCCCCTGACAATGTGACAGTATTCAGCCTCTCCCTCCACGTCGGGGTGCTGGGCTGGGAGCCAGCAGACTAATTCTTACACAATCCTGGTTTTCTTGTCTTTCAGAATTATCCAGCAGCTGGTCAATGGAATTATTGCACCAACCACAATTCCAAACCTAGGCCTGGGCCCTTGGTGAGTTGGAGGATGTGCTGCTCTCTCTGGCAGTGTCTCGGTGGTGCTCCCGGATGAACTCACTTGCTGTCCTTGCTCTTCAGGGGAGTCCTGCACTCAAATCCGATGGACTACGCCTGGGGTGCCAACGGCCTGGATGCGATTATCACACAGGTAAAACTGGGACTTAGCAGAGTCTCCATCCTCCTGTGCAGTGCTGCAGAAGGGGCAGCACCTGTGGTGGTGCAGGGGGTGAGGGACTGCGAGGGCAGGAACGGGAACCGGGGTCTGCAGTGTGGGCGATGCGGGGCCCAAGCGCACTGGCTCAGGAAACATTCTCTGGATTCTCTGTACTGCTGAGCTCACCTCTCCCTTCTGCCTGCCTGGCCGGTTGTTTTTCCAGTTACTGAATCAGTTTGAAAACACTGGACCACCGCCAGCGGACAAAGAGAAGATCCAGGCCCTCCCCACCATACAGATCACACAGGAGCACGTAGGTATGTGTCTGCTCCGGGCAGTCATGCAGAGAGAGCTCCCTGGAAGCTCTGTGTAATGTTTTCTTGGGACTTGAATTTTGTCTGCTTGTACCTTCAAGGCCTAAAACATTTCAAAGACGGGAGAGAGCTGAAGTGGCTCTGTTACACTCACAAAAAAAAAGAGCAGTGCAGGCTGGATGGATTTGCCCTGTGGAGGCAAGCTTGTGAGAAGTTCAGATGGAAAAGCAGAAGGGAGGGGAAGGATGAGGCAGACCCGGGGCAGGGGGATGTGGCGTGATGGGGGAGTGACTGCAGAGCACCAAGCTTTCCTCTTGGCAGGGTTGGAGCAGTGCCGAGGAAGGGGAGGGAGTGATGGGTCCTGAGTTGGGGGCTTTGTCTGTCATTCTCTCCTCCATTGCTCAGCTGTGCTTGGCTTTCCCTGTGCGATGCAGATTCCGGGTTGGAGTGCCCTGTGTGTAAGGAAGACTACACAGTCGGGGAAAACGTGCGGCAGTTACCGTGCAATCACCTGTTCCACGACGGCTGCATTGTCCCATGGCTGGAGCAGGTGAGTGTGGGGGCAGTGCCCAGGGCGTGCAGCACCCCTGCTCCCCTCAGTAAATATTTTCCTACCTCTGTTGTGAGGCTTGAGCCATGAACAGCCTTCGATCAGAGGACGGAGTGTCATCCCAGCCTGTTCCTCGAGTGCTGCTCCCATATCGTGTTTCTAATCAGTTTTCCATATTTCTTGTTTTGTTTTTGTCTGCTCCTCAAAGCATGACACGTGTCCCGTCTGCCGGAAAAGTTTAAGTGGACAAAACACTGCCACAAACCCCCCAGGACTCACAGGGATGAACTTCTCGTCATCCTCCTCCTCCTCCTCTTCCTCCAGCTCACCAAGTAATGAAAACTCATCGAACAACTCATGAATCTTAACACACCCTCTGTCCCTGGGGCCCCCTCCACTGTCCCCTCTCCCTCCCTGGCCACCACAAGCAGCCAAAGGGGCTTCCAGAGCAGAGCGAGGGGAAGGGGACAAGGGGGGAGCAGTGCCCCCAGAATTCTCTTTTGATTTCTGAAGACACGGAGACTCTGGGTCCTTCAGAGATGAGAAGCCTCAAGTTCTGTGATGAAAAAGGGGGGAAAGAGCTCTGTCTGTCAATAAAAACATCCTCTGTGCGTGGACTTTACCCGTTGCAGTGCGAGGCTGCCGCGCTCCCAGCTGGGAACCCCGAGGTGCTGAGCGAGTGGTTGAATCCCAAAAGGAAAGGTTGTTTGTATGGGTTTGAATTTGAGATCCCTTTCTTTTATTTCTTTTGCTCCTCCTCCCCTTGGATACTCTCTTTTCTGCTTTGGAGATTGAAGTCTAAAATGGAAGCGTAAGGATGCTGCCTCCCCTCCAGGATCTTCAGCTGGGGAGGACCAGTAGCTCTCACTGAAACAGGAACTCTCAAATAGACCCCGGGATCCTTCCCTGTCCCATCTCGAGTCCCATTTATTTTTCTTTATAACCTCGCCCGCTGATACTCAACACTGAAAGGGTTTTTATAATCTTAAATTATTACTGCTGTCAATAAATGGACATTTCAGCTCTGCGAGCCGTTATGCATGATTTGAGGAGAGCTACAGGGTAAGCTCCGAGGCTGCCGAGCCATCCCACCTCCCCCGGGCAGGCTGGGCCTCTCTGAGCCCTCCCACGTGCTGGGAGCTCTGGGCTCTGGTGGGAGCTGCTGCCAGCCTGCAGGGCACTGCACAGTGACCAAGGATCGCATCTGGAAGCATCCTCGCCTGGTCTTTTCTATTTTTTACATCTCTGTGTTGCAGTCCTGCCCCCCTCGCAGCTGGGGCGGGCTGTTCCGCTGGGCCCACACAGGACTGGGTGTGCAGCAGAGCGAGGACCAGCAAATCTCGTTGTGACTGAGTAATTACCAGGAAAACAACATTTTTTGAGAAAAATGTATTGCAAAACTACTTAAAATAGAGCTGATTAAAAAAGGAGAGAGAGAAAAATACCCAGGTATGTTTGTGACTCAGTTTCTGTGACAGAGCTGGAGCTTGGAGAATGACAAGAATGCGACCGGTGCGGGCAGTCGCTCCCTGCCATGTCCCTGCTCCCCAGGCCTGGAGGCACGAGAGGACCAGAGCCCTGGTGCTCTCGCCCTCTGTCACCAGGAGCCCTTTCCCCTCGCAGGGACTCGGGGCAGGCAGCGGATCTCCTGACGGGCCAGGGTCTACGATGGAGCTGTGCATCGGGATCGTGCTGTGGCGGAGGCCAGAGCAGGCGAGGGGGACTGTGCCCCTGTGGGGGTGGGCAGAGGGTTTGGCAGTTTGGGGGGCTCCCTGCCTCTTCCCCTGGCTCTTGGGGCCTTGGGAGTGGGCTGGGACAGCTGGGGAAGGTGCTGGTGCCAGCAGAGCTTGGGTGTCTCTTCCAGAGCAGATTCACCCCAGACCTGACCCTTCCTCCCAAGAGCTTCCTGGGAAGGGACAAGATCCTATAGGAGGGGGAGGCCAGTGGCTGATTTGGCCATTTTTGAGCCATTTCAGAACACAAGAAGTTGATTTGTTGGAGAAAGTGTCCCCGGGGTGGGTGGCAGCAGCTCTGCCGGGGCCAGGAGCTGACACAGAGCGACTCGCCCGGACTGTTTTTCCTCCTTGGCTTGGCAGGGCAGCACAGCGGCGCCTTTCATCTCACAGGACGAGGGTTTATCTCAGGACTGGTGTGTCGTGGTTAATGGCTCATCCTCTGCCAAGGGTTGAGCCAGAAGCCTGGTCTGGGGAAGTGGGTGGCAGCAAGAAGGTCCTGGCTGAACCTGCGTGAGTCCACCGGCTGGCCCAGCACCAAGGGAAGGCTTTGCTGTTTAGTCACCTAACCTGGAAAAACCTTCCCTCTCCCACCATGTTTCTGCTACAGCAGGGGTTGCTGGCTCCCCTGGTGCTCAGGATGATCTCTCACTTGTCAGCAGTGCTTGGGTGGGTTTTGAGCGGGCAAAGCAAAGCCCCAGGTAGGTGTGTGGCAGTTGCCACCTGCCTTGCAGGGGCTTGGGGCCAGTTCCACAGTCACCACACAGTTAACACGGTGGTGTTCCCTTTCAGAGTCGTTTGGAGCTGGTTGGGTCGGAAATGGAACAAGTTTGGTGGTTTTTGCTGGGGCCATTGCTCTGTGTGACGTGACGGTGACCGGGCTGCTGGGCCTGGCCACGGCGGGTGCGAGGGCGGCACAGGGATGTGCCCTGGCTGGGAAGCTGAGGTGTGGGTGCTATTCCTGGCCGTGCTCCCCTCCAGGCGAGGGGCTGGTCTTTGTCACTGTCCACTGTCCCAGCTCCATATTTGCTGGGAATGATGGTGTGAAGCTGGGCTGCAAGACCAGCACGGGCTGTAGCCAGGGACAGCCCTGGGGCTGTGTCTGCCTGAGGATCCAGGCTGGCTCCTGGTTCTGCTCCTCCTGCTCCCTCCTTTGTGCTGCTGAACCATCATTGCTGTTTTCCTGCAGGGTTCTCGATGCAGAACTCGATGTGGCAGGGGACCAGCCACGCTCCCCGCTGGTGGCAGCAGGGATGACACTGGGGGCTGCAGCCACGACCTCAGGGAAGCCAATCCCTCCCATCCCAAGCCAAGTCCACCATCAAAGCTCCAAGACCCGCTCCTGTTCCATACCATGAACGCAGCTTTAATTGCCATGGGTGCTCGAACACAGACAACCGGCTGGTACATCCCAGCCCTGCAGAGATGCCATTAGCAGACCCCAGGCCCTGCTCCAGGCACGCCCTTGGCCTTGGCATGCGGTGGCCACACTCCCCAGCTGTGCCAGGCCAGCTCTGCCCCGGCGGGATGGCGGGACAGCCCCAGCCCTGCAAAGCCAAGTCTGGAGCATCTGCCTTCTGCATCCATCCTCCACCATGCATTAAAAATAAAGCAATAAATAGCAAAAAATAGATATGTACATAAATAAAATAATCCTTTCTTGTTTTTTTTTCCTACAGGACTGTCCAGAGCTGCTCGTGGCGCTCAGCCAACAAGCATGGGGAGAAAGTGTGTGGAGAGGTGCTGCCGGCGTGTCTTGCCCCCTCGCTGTGGCCTGCCCTTGCTGTTGAGGGAGAGGAACATGGGGCGGCCGCAGTGCCGCCAGCGCAGCGACGCGTAGGTGTTGTAGCCGTTCTCCTCGATGCGCTCTGTGAACTTGCAGTTGGGGCTGAACTCCTTCTGGCAGGAGAGGGAAGGGGGTGAAGGGTGGCTGTGCTTGGCTGGGGTCCCTCAGACCCCAGGTGGGGCCGGGCAGGACCCTGTGTCCCCAGGGGTCAGAGGGCTCGGTCCCTGCTGGGGAGCATGTCAGGGCATGGAAAACCAGAACCCTGCTCCTGGGCACTGGTCCCAGCAGGTCTGGGACCCCCTGTTGCAATTCTGTTCTGCACCTCTGACCCCAGTGCAGTCCCTCCCAAGGAGGCAGCGTCCGACCTACCGACCCGTAGAGCCTCCCCCGCTTGTTCATGGCCAGGTAGAAGCCGGTGTGCACCGCCCGGATGGCCACGACGCCGACACGCACCGACCGGATCTCGACGATGCCTGTGGGACAGGGAGGCCCAGCATGAGCCAGGGATCCTGGGTCTGTGGCCAGTGTCCCCCCAGAGGGATGGGGTTGCTGATCCTTGCCCACAGCAGGAGCAGCCAGAGGGACAGTGGGAACAAGAGCTGCAGCCCAAGCTGGGAGTGGGAGGGGAAACTTCTGATCCAGAGAGGGTTTGATCTTTACTCCCCTCCTCCCCAGGGTCCAGCTGCTTCCCAGGAGCTGGGCTGTATGGGAGCAATGCCAAGCACAACCTCCACTTGCCCAGTACCGACCTCGTGTGTGTCCTCCCCTTGTCCCCAATGGGCCTGTAGTGCCTCAGGGACACGACCTGCCCCCCTCAGCACCTGGCCCTGACACATGCAGGGCATCGAGGCTGGCACAGCCCTTGGAGGGGCAAAGTGTGCACGGGGGTGGCACACGCAGGGCGCACCCTGTGTTATGGTGGATGGAGGCACGTGGGCAGGGGCGTGAGGGGGCAGGAATGGGGCTGGAACAGTGCTGCCCTAGGATGCTGGTGCTGACTGCCCGGCTGGCACAAGCGAGCATACACAGCTCTGTGCCCAGTACTGTGGGCTGGAGGATGCAGCAGTGCTGCAGGACATGGGAATGAGCCCAGGAGGTGGCTGCAGCCAGGCTGTGAAGCCACAGCTGGGCTGGCGTGTGTGTGCCCAACCGCCGAGCTCCAGCACGGCCGCTAATGGGAAAGGCATGTGGTCAGACCAGAGGCTCTGGCATGGGAAACACCCAGAGCATCATCAGGGCTTTGGATTCCTGCACTGCCCCACGCCAGCCAGCCCGGAGTGCTGCTGCCTGCCCTGCTGCCCGCCAGGCACACGGTACAGTGGAAAGGGGAGAAGGAATCCCCAGGGGGAGCAAAGCAGGCAGGGCAGGGGGCAGGGCAGGGGGCAGGGCAGGAGCCACAGCAGGATCTGCCCATGGGCACCACTGCAGGGGCTGCCCCGGCTGGACAGGGAGGGAGGACACGCAGAGGCTCTGGTTGGTGGTGGCACACACAGTGTGGGGGGCTGCAGCCCCTGGGCAGGGGCTTTCACCAGGCACCAATCCCCCAGCATTGCCAGCATCTGCAGGGCCGGGCCCAGTGAAGCCACTGATGAGCAGCAGTGGAGGAGAAGAGCTGTGAATCTGTCCTGCTGGATCACAGTCTGGAGCTGATGCTATTTATAAGAAAGGACTTGTGCTTTTCTAAAAATAACCCCCCACTGCTGTCCCCAGCGCCCTGGCCGGCTCTGCCGTGATTTGCTTGCAAGTGCTTGGCCAGCGCCTGCCCAGAGACAGCTCCCAGTGCCCCCAGTCTCACACTCTCAGCCACCAGAGGGGTCCCGAGCAGGCTGGGGCAGAAGCAGGGCCTGAGGTGGGGGAGTCCCTGGGAGATCCCCTGCCAGCCTGCAGCTGCCAGTGGGGCTGGTCCAGCAGCTTCTGCGAGGGCTGTGGAGGGGAGCCCAGCCCAGGCACAACAGATAAGCAGAGTGAGCCCCGTGCAACAGCCCAGGGCTGCTCTGCCTGCCAGGCCCCATGGCCACCCAGCCGAGGGAACGTGTTGGGGTGCTTTGTCTTGGCAACGTGCCTGGTCGGGACTCCCAACAGCCTCTGACACCACAGGAGGGTTCCCTGGGCTGGGCTGGGCTGACCTGGGCTCCCTCATCCTGTGCTGGCCAGGAGACAGGGCTGCCCCTATCAGACCAGGACATGGGCTGGGGGTACTGCATCCCTCCTGCCCCAAGCCCCAACACCCTGCCAGGGCACCCCAGGGATGCTCAGGCATCCCCCTTTCCCAAGGCCCCTCCCATCCAGCCACTGTTCCGCCAACCCAGTGCCCTCTCCCTGTCACAGGGGCTGAGACTCCCCACCCTGATGGGCTGAAACCTGGATGCTTGCAGCCCTGACTCTTGCTGAAGTACGTACAATGGGTGCCAAGTCCTTGGGGACTCTGGGAACTCTGCCCCTCTGCCCACCCAGATATCCCCGTGCCAAGCCCCAAACCACTCCACAGGCAGCGGCTGTGGAGTGGTCCCGTCCGACAGGGCTGCTCTACTCTCCTACACCTGAGGGATGCTCCGTTCTGGGACCAGCATCACCGTGAGGCTTCCTAAGTCCCTCCTCCTCAGCCTTTATCCTCCTCAGTGTGTTTGCGGAGATAGATCAGATCCCCTCAGTCCACGCGGAAGGCAGGGCAGGCGGATGCCCTCATGCCTGCGCTGGCAGGACGAGATGGGACAAGGGACCAACACCCCTCCCCCGGTCACCCCAGCAATGCCGGGTCCCCAGACAGTGCCCGCCGGCGCCCGCGCCCCTCTCACGGCTCCCACGGTGCAGCGGCGGCCGAGCCCCGGGAAGGAGCTCCCGGGGCGAGGGCAGCCGGAGCAGGTTGTACTCGAGGAGTGACGTGTCCCGCCCGGCGGGGACGGAGGGGACAACGGGGACGGAGGGGACAGTATCTCCCGCCGCTCCCGCGCCCCCAGAGGAGGAGGCGCTTTGGCTGAGGTTCCGCCAGCGGGAGGAGCTGCGGGCGATCTCCGGGCCGGGCACGGAGGGTCCCGTCGCCGTCCCGAGGCATCCCCGTCCAGCCTCCGCCCCGGCAGCGCCCGCCTCTGCCGCAGCCCCGGTACCCGGCGGGATCGGGCTCTCGCCGCCGTGGGCAAGGAGCAGCCGCGGGGGGCGGCCCCAGGCCCCGGCTCTCCCCGGCCCCGGCCCCGGCCCCGGCCACACTCACTGCCCGGCCGCTCCCTCCAGCGCGTCCCCTCCACGCCGCCGCCGCCGTCGATGCGCAGGAAGAAGCGGGTGGCGGAGAAGAGTCGCCGCCAGCGCACGTCGCCCTCCAGGTGCCCGTAGCTACGGGGGGGTCGCCGGCCGGTCCCGGTGGCACTGCCCGGCCCCGGTCCCGCCAGCACAGCGAGAGCCCCGGCGAGGCAGGCGGCGATGGCAGCGGGGCCCCCGCGCCTCATGGCGGCGGGCGGCGGGCGGGCGGCGGGCGACAGGCGATGGGCCATCGCCGCGGCCGCGACCGGCGACCGGCCCCGACGGCGCGGGCGGCCAGGGAGGGGCGGCCCGAGAGGGGCGGTGGCCAAGGGGCGAGGCGGGGCCGGGGGCGGGGCCTCCCATTCATAAATCCGCGCCCCGACGGCAGCCCCGGGTTATCGGCCGCGGTCACTCGGCTGCCCTGGGGCGCCCGGCTGGGGACCGCACGCTCCAGTATCCACCGATGGTGGCGACGGGTGGGCAGGAAACGGGTGCCCCGGGGAAAGTGTCGGGGGAGAGACGTGGTCCCGGACCCGGGGGTAGAGGTGTATGCCTGCGGTCCCGACCGAAGAGCGCCGAGCTCGGGCCATGAGGGGCACGAGGCTCCGCCGTGTCCCGACTCCCCCGCCCCCGCGCTCTGCCGCCGTGTCCCGGGCTTCGCCGCCCCCGCAGGCTTTGGCATGTCCCGGACTCCGCCGTCCCTCCGGGTCCCGCCGTGTCCCGGTGCCGCCGTGTCCCGTGTCCCGGTCCCGCTGTGTCCCTGTCCCGCCGTGTCCCGGTCCCGCCGTGTCCCGGTCCCGCTGTGTCCCGGTGCCGCCGTGTCCCGTGTCCCGGTCCCGCTGTGTCCCTGTCCCGCCGTGTCCCTGTCCCGCCGTGTCCCGGTCCCGCTGTGTCCCGGTGCCGCCGTGTCCCGTGTCCCGGTCCCGCTGTGTCCCTGTCCCGCCGTGTCCCGGTCCCGCCGTGTCCCGGTGCCGCCGTGTCCCGTGTCCCGGTCCCGCTGTGTCCCT